CTCCCTGGTTCCAGATCTCTTCTTGGACCTATAGTGGCTCCCTCTGATATGGTATCTCTCATCCTACTCTCTTTCCTCTATTCTTCCCCCAACTCAATATTTCTGCCCCTCCATTTCCTCTCCTCTACTCCTCTTCTCGTGCTCTTATTGTAGCAGCTCCTTTCCCACTACCCTCATGCTCCCAATTAGTTCAGGAGTTCATGCCACTTCCATTCCTGGGGACCATTTATCCCTTAGAGTCCTTCATGTTTCCTAGTTTCTTTGGTGAAGAGGTTTATAGGCTGGTAATTCTTTGCTCAATGTCTAAAATTAATATATTAGTGAGTACATACCATGTTTGTCTTTTTGTGACTGGGTTACCTCACTCAGGATGGTTTCTTCTAGTTCCATCCATTTGCCTGCAAATTTCAAGATTCCATTGCTTTTTTCTGCTGAGTAGTACTCCATTGTATAAATGTACCATATTTTCTCAACCCATTCTTCAGTTGAGGGGCATCAGGCCACTCTTACATGGCCTTAGTGAGTGACTAGAACTCGGGTTCTCTGGCTTGCACAGCAAGTATGTCTCGTCCTGTCCCCCACCCCCCATCTCACTGGCCACATCAGTTATTTTCAACAGTAAATAAAACTTTCAGGAATCGGTTAAACATGTAAGAACCAAAAGTCAAAAAAGGGACTGAGGTTACTTGAAGATTTCAATGGCTGCTGGGCTTATCCTGCCATGTGACTATGGCAGGTACCATGTGACCACTCAGGGTAGCAAAAGCTGAGAGTGTGGACACACTGGACTATGGTGATTCAGGCCCTCCACCACAACGCATGACAGACTGAGATTTCTTAACAATGCTCAGAATGCAGTACCATTAAAAATGGAAGAATTATTTATTTCTAGAATTTTCCACTTAATACTGCTTGACCTTGGTTGGTTAAACAACACACCACCACCACCACCACCACCACCACCAACAACAACAACAACAACAACAACAACTCATCTGGAAAAGTAGGACATGAAATATCCTGGGTGAGGGCAGGAGTGGAGAGGGGGGAGCTACGTGTTTTCAGGAGTTACCATGCCTAATCTGGCAGGGTGCCTGGAGGAGAGTTGTCTGTCATTGTTGGTACTGAAGGTGATGTCATGATGCTCTGGGAACACTACACAGAAGTGGGACTCTGGGTTGCATCAGAGCACTTGGCAAACAAGGGAAATAAATCCCCTCATACCTTGATCTACCTATCTCTGTCTAGCATCCCCTATTGGGAGAAAATGAAAATCCTAGACAGCAGTTTAGAGTGAAATGAAATGCCTTGCTTGAATAGTACCTTGCTTCTATTTGTCATTGGTGTAGGTACAACATTAATTAGTTCTTCGAGATCCATGAACTGCATCTCTTTTGCCCCTCCAACACACATACCCACACCCACACAGATGGACCAACAGATGGACAGACAGACGAATGGACACTTGGCTAGGAAATAGTTCCTTATGAAAGAATCCATTACTTAAAGGTTCCCTGAGGAAAACATGACAAATTTACAAATGTGTCTTTTTTTTTTTTTTTTACCTTGGTGCTTCTACTGCTCAAATCTGCCCAGAACTCCAAAAAGGTTGAGGCTTTCAATGAGAGAGGAGTAATCCATTTATGCAGTTGTTTGGAGGCTGGAGGCCAAGCATGTGGGAAATATTTCTTTGGATTTGACCCAAGGAGCAGATGGTAAGTTGCTGGAGCAGATGTAAGGTTAGAGGCTGTCCTGTGAGCATGTTGATGGTGTGATCCAACATGACAGACATTCGTGTGTGTGTGTGTGTGTGTGTGTGTGTGTGTGTGTGTGTGTGTGTGTGTCAGAGAGAGGGGGTTGGGGGGCAGAGAGAGAAGAGAGAGAGAAAGAAGAGAGAGAGAGAGAGAGAGAGAGAGAGAGAGAGAGCTGTGGTGTACAGAAACATGACTCCAAGGACAAAGCCTCTCCCCATTTTCTTTTTTCTGATTGCTGAGGGAAATTTGGTCAGGAGCCTTGAATGAGTCTGGGATGATGTCCCTTATTGTTGGAATGTCCCCATAGCCTTCATGTTGTTATTTGACTGGCCTGTGTTGTCTGTTTGTTCTACAGAGTCTGGTTAAGATATGCTTTGTTTTTGGTGTTCTGCCTTTCCTGCCAGGTTCAGGGAGAGCCCATGAGTCAGAGCTACAGTAAATGGCCAGTGCATACGCAACACTCCAAGGTCCTGTTCATGTGGACTTTAATCCAATACCCGCTGGAATCTGTTGGAATCTTCTACGCCTATTTGCTTCTCTACCTATACTCTCCACAAATGTAGCTCATGAGAAATTACAGTCCTCAGCATGTACTTGTCAAGGGTTCTTAGTCCCTTTGTAGCCCCTCTAGGACCCTACTTAAGGGACAGCTACATCTCAGCATAGTTGAGTGCTTTGCTGAGAGGCATTTTATGGGATAGTCTTGTTAATCAGACAACTTCTAGTTGTCTACTAACCATACTATATTATGCCTTAATTAATGAAATATGAAAGTGATGTAGTTTTGTACTCCTGTAGAAGGGCCTTTGGTTCAAATGCCCACTGGGATGTGGTGTCTCCTTTGTGTTCTCTCTGTAGCGTTGTCTTTCAGTGTTGAAGAACTCAGCTATGGTTACCTGCAGCCCTGACAAGAGCTAAACTTTCTTGTCTCTGAACTTCACAGGAAACAGGCACAAGGCACAAGGGGACTCTTCTGGCTAGTCAGTGGATACTTGTCAGTTTCCTGCTTCCAGTCTAAAGCTTCATCTTTCTCCCCTGTGACACCATGTCTTTAGTCTGCCTGTCTCCTGAGGAGAGCTGGGCTGTGACAGAAGACTAGGATGAATCATGCAAACCTCAGAATGGCGTGCTGCTGGTTAGGGAGTGCCCTCAACTTGGGCTGCTTGGTTAGTGTTTGAGGTGTGGTGCTGAATAAAATCTTGTGCCACACACCCTGCCCTAATAGCCCTGTGTCATGTGTTTACTGTTCACACTCATTGTCTTAATCTACCTTACGCTCAAAACCAGCTTAGTCAGCGTCAGCACGAAGTGCTTCTAATAGCAGCGGCGGCAGCAGCAGCAGATGGGCACTGCACCTGCTATCCTGCAGGTGCCTTAGGGACATATGTTGCTGGGTCCGTCTGGCCATGTATTTTGTCACACACCTGGAACCAGACGCTCCCAGTGAGGAAGATGGAAATGTCTGGCTATCAGGAACTCATGGGGCCATACCAGAGGAAATTCTTTTTAGAAAGTATAAGTAGGCTGTTTATAGGAGGCATATAAGTTTGCATCTTTAGGAGAATGGAAGCCAGCGTTTACTAAGTATGGCTCAAGAGTCTGGGCTGTGGAACTATAATGGTGCATCAGGAGGGGACTAGCTATGGACTGGATAGTAGGTCAGGGAGCTTCAGGAACATAAAGCATGGGAGTTTGTTGGACTTACAGAAATGAAAGAAGGAGGGAGGGAGAAAGTGAGAGTATTGTTCCTATTTAGGTGATGAGGGATTGACATTACTGATTGGTGAGGTCCTGAGGTCAAGGCTGGTTTCTGGTAGGTTGCTTGTGGGTGAATGTTATAAAGTGACCGTGATTCACCTACAGATGGAAAAGAGGCTACACTACCAATCATCTCTGGAAGAACTATGAGGTCCAATAGGCCCCGCCTTATTTTGCAGGAGAGTGTGATTCCTGCCCCCTTTTAAGTGTGACAGGCAGAGCTAAGACTACTACAGACAGGAGAAGAAAGCTGGAAGCCAATGATAGGGAGGGAGAAAAAGGAATCCGAGAGCAGCCTGTTACTTCAAACTCTTGAAATGAAAACAGTATAGTTTAGATAAGAGATCTAAACCCATACAACACATTGACACCCGTGACTGATCCAGGAGACAACCCTTGTTCTCCAGCACTGGTCCATGGCTGAATCCACCTTGTCATTTATTTCGAAAAGTAAAACTTCATTCTGGAATTAAGTCTCTTTATCAACCTTTTCCTGCCTTTTCCACGTGAGGTTCTTGCGGACTCTGAGGAAGGTACTCTCTCTGTTTGGATCTGCACTGACAATGCAGTTCACACTTAACCATAGAAAGGGGAATGGTCCACAGCCACAGGCGTAGAGGCAGGAAGCTGTTGTTGACTGTTAGGATACAGTCGCACCTTGAAGGGGATATCCGGGCAGGTGCAGGTTTCAGTTCCTTTTTCAGCCATGATTTTTTGAGGAGTGCTGTACTGAACAGTTAAAAACAGGAATCACATGTTAAACCATGTTCTCTGATTTGGATATGTTTTCAGGAGTTTCCAGGGTGACTGGAAATATCCCTCTATGTACTTTTAATGTCTAAAGCCTCTATTCCCCACCCCCTCCAGGGTCTCTCATTGTTTAGCCTTAGCTGGCCTGGAACACATGATGTAGATCAGGATAGCCTTGAGCTCACAGACATCTGCCTGCTTTGCCTCCCCAGTGTTGGAATTAAAGGTGTGGATCATTACCCCCAGCTTCTTTTCCATTAAAAAGATTTTACTTTCTGCCTCGGCTTCCCAAGTACTAGCTTACAAACATGGCCGCCATGCCCATTTCTCTCCACTCTCTCTTTCAATCCTGGGGATCAAGCCTGGGTCTCACACACTAGGCAAGCACCCTATTCATCCTCAGCGATCTCTCCATTAGTTACAACCATTTCCAAACATCCAAAAAAGTTGATGAGCAACCACAGAACTTCTTAGTATCATCAATGATAAACATCTTGTCTGTGCTCTCCTTCTCCCCCGAAATTACCCTATTTAAACTAAGTTGTGAGTATCAACTGTATACTTTATCCAGCTTGACAGCCATGGTATGGGAAGAATTCAGTAAAGTCTTAGAGACACAGTGGGCAGGATGTCCTGTCAATATGGCTCGTGAGAATGCAAGTTTCCAGCACTTAGCTGATTCTCACACTGGTTCTCAAGTAAATGGTGCCATTTTCTAACAGATGTGCATGACATTCCATTTTAGTAACTCTTGCTTTAATGGTTTCTAGGGAGACAAAGAAATCCACCTTAATTCTGCACACTTTTGTGTATGCCCATTTTGTTCAGTTGATTTCAAGAACACATCTTCACTGCAGTGTACTGTGGCAAATGCGTACTTGAAGACAGAACTGGCCTTTTGCCTCCCAGCATATTAAGTACTGCCACTAATTATTCTATAATGTGTATTCGGGAATGATAATGAGGAAGGACTTAAGGTATTTCAGTATTTTGCTTGTGGCTTGAAACATAATAAAATGCTCACCTTCCAAGGTGAAAGATGTTAACTGTCACAGCAACCCTTGCTAATGATTGCAAGGTATCACACACATTATAATGCTTGTCTGCTCCAAAAAAAAAATAATAATTATGTCCCTTTAAGGCCCTCATACTATCTATGCAATTTTAGTACTGTTTTATCCCCAACCTATATCATACACAAATGCAGAACTTCATGCCATTTAATCTGTGGCTAGATGATAGAGGAGTGAAAGCATTCATTAGAAAGCTACAGATGTTCTATCTTTGTTTCAGAACACACCAGAGAATTTAATTCAAAGTTCTAGAAAAAATATTGACAGACAGATGGGATCGGAACTTAATGAACCAGCTACAGAACAGCACTCCCTAATCTATCAAAGTCCTCACTGGCACTTTCCTTTTTTTTAACCAACTCTCCGTTGTAAGTCAACACATGACAAATCCTCAACAATAACATCTGATGTTGGACAAAAGCCATTGTCACTAAACAGCAATGGTACACAAAACAGTAAAAACCAGTTGTTTTAGGTAAAAGTAGCTTGGCTTTATCACCAAGCTCTGCAGTGACCTCATTCTCCTGAAAAAAATTATTTTATTTAACTGTGTGCATGGAGGCATCCTGCGGAACTCAGACGAGGTCATCAGAACCCTTGAGCAGCCTATTGTAGGTGCTAGGAACCAAGCTCATTCATGTCCTCTGGAACCCTTAACCATTGAGTCCTATCCCTACTTCTCTCTACTAATTCTATAACATGTTTTTGCTGTATTTCAGGTGGAATGTAGTTCACTGGTTTTTGCCCAAAGACTGGGATACTGAAACCTCACCAGATTTCTGATTCTTTGGTTCTATCCTAGATGTTCTAGTTTGGAGAGTCATGGGGTTGAGCTCAAGACTCTTCACTCTATTCAGGTTCCCTGGAGATCCTGATGTGGATAATGATGGAACATGCTCTGACCTATACCATTTTCAGCACCTGAGATTGCTAAGTCATGCCCATCGAGTGAGTTGGTCTAATGACAGTCTTTGCTGGCTGACCACCGCTAACCCCTTCCATCTGTCCTCGTATGTACGGATCAGGATGAACATGGGACCCATATCCTACAGCTAAGGACAGCTGTTATGATGCCTGAAAAGGGCACTTCCTTCTTTTATTAGCCTTGAAACTTAAGTTAGGACACCTGCTTAGGAGTGGTAGAATGAAGGGTGTGTGTGTGTGTGTGTGTGTGTGTGTGTGTGTGTGTGTACAGCAGCCTGTGTAGCTACTGAATGCAGATTTAGTTTCTCAAAGGTATACACACCCAGGACAGCTCTGTACTAATTCACACAAACCTTTGTAAAATCACCATTTTGTTGTCTTTCGTTATGACATTTTCATGCCTTTTCTTTCTTTCTTTCTTTCTTTCTTTCTTTCTTTCTTTCTTTT